ACCCTCAGTTCTCGGAGAGCGACAGGGCCAGGGCAGCCTGCAACGCTGCCTCCTCGTCGATGTTATAGTCCTAAAAAAGAAAAAAAAAACACCAGAGAGGGGTGATCAGGGGAGTTTAGCACGGCTGGGCCACGGGGGGTGGCCACGGCAAGGAGCCCTCCCTGCTCCTTATCGAGCCACGGAGGCTGCGAGGCTCCACCTCCTCCGGCACACCCGTGCTTTTTGGGGTGTGCTTTGCCCCCACGGTCCCTTCTCCTGCCTGGAACCTGCCACCATCAGCCCCGCTCTCAGACCTGGCAGCGGGCAGGGATGAAACAGGCCCGCACAAAACGCTGGGGCCCAAGGGTGAAGCTTTCCAGCAAGGCCACGGGCTGCCCCAGGGCTCCGGTTGGGGTTTAGGCAACGCAGCCACCGCTCCCTAAATTGTGGCTATTTCTCTGTGAATAGGCGGGGGTCCCTTTCCCCGACATCTAAGGGCGCCGCAACAAAAGCGGGATGCTCCCCAAACCTCCCCCGGGTCCCTGCAGCCAAGGCTGGGCGATCACACCCTCACCCCCACACAGGAGGGGTCAGCAACGCCCCGAGAGGGGGGGCCACGGATACCTCCCACGTGCAGCAGTCGGGGGACCCCCCCCTGCTGCAAGGCTGCTCCCCTCCCACTGCTTGTGAAGCCTCCAAGAAAAGGGCTTTTGTGTTCCAGTTCCTCCAGGGAAGAGTTTAATGGAGCACTGGAAACAATCTACTTTCACAGAGAGCGGTAACATTTCCCTCTCCTCCTCCGGAGGCTTTTTCCTGGTGGGTCTGATGACAACCAGCTCCAGCAACCCCCCAGGGAGCCCAGCCTCCCATCCCTGGGGGTCTCCCGAGTGGGGCTACACGTGTGCCACGTGCTTCCCGCAAAGCCCAAAGGAGGATCCGTCCCTTTCTCTTCCCGAGGGGCTGCACTGCAGGACGGGCTGGTCCCAGCACGGGAGGGGAAGGGCTGGTTTCATATCACAGCAGCTCCAGGGCGGGGGGC